AGGAGAGTTTCAGGCCAGGAAAAAGGGAGTGGAGCGGTGGTCTCACGGCAAACCACTGACAGGAAGGAGGGAAAATGGGAAGAGGCTCTGAAGGAGCAGCTGGTGCCATTAAAATTCCACCACGCAGACCAGGAGAGTCACACAGAATTCTTCACAAGAATTCTGAAGTTCTGTGATGAAAATCACCAGAAAAACTTGCAATGCCCAATGTTTCATCTCATGGATGTGGCACTGAATTTCTGAAGCAAAGCACTAACTCCACAATTCCTAATTTATTTCCATTCTGAAAACCACCCTTGCAAGACAGCTGCCAGAAAGGACCCAACTCCGATACACCCTTGTCCTTTTGTTCTCGAATTCTTTGTGTGTTCATTGAAATTACTTGTATCACAAAAAGGATGCCGCGCCTCAGAAGAGACAAGATGAGACCACTGCATTTACAGAAATATAAGGTCCCTGGCATAAAGGAAAAGGGAACAGGCTTGGCGGTCTGTACAGGACACATCCGGTGTCCCCTCGCTGGAAGAAAAGACCCTGACGTTCTTCACCCAGGGTGGGCCCCTCAGACCGGGGGCACATGCCTCCCTCCGAGGCTCCTCCACTGGCTGGCCGGTGACCCAAGAGGTGGCCTGCTGTGGAGGATTCTGCCCAACTGAGCAGTGGTTCTCAGGACCTCTTTACATTCTTACAAAATCAGAACACCCCAAAGAGGTCTGTTCCCATTTTAAAGTGGGTTTTATCTATTGATATTGGCTGCAAGAAAAATTAAAACTGAGAAACTTTCCAAACTCAAGAACACACATTTAAATAGGTGTCAGAAGATGAGACCATCGCACATCATGTAGCCACTGGAAAACAACTCTGGATACGTATGAGAGAGTAAGAGTGATATGGCAACTAGTGCCCTGGTATTTTTACGAAAATAGTTTTGACCTCAAAGAGCCCCTGCAAGAGTCTTGGGAACCCCAGAGTCCCCAAGACCATACTTTGAGAACCTCTACAATAGGTACAATGAGAAACAGCTAAACAGACTCAGACAACCTCACTCCAGAACGTATAAACGCAAATAAGGGAAGGCTCGGCCAGTCAAAGCAAGAAAATAATGGCACAGGGTGGTAAAAGGATGGAGTGATTCCAAAATATTTTAAAAGATGTTCATATGTTTTCCAAGTTAAATGACTTTTTAAAGTTTGATTTAGGATCTACTTATTACAACTATCATCTTAACCCCAAATGAATGGTGCATGCTTCAAACAGATTATAGGAATATCAATCTTGATATAAGTCCCATGTGTAACAGCAAGTGGGTTCATCTCCTGTACCACCAACCACTTGCCTCTGATTCCTCACTGATAATCAACAGAACATATTGCTTTTTCAGAAATAAGTCTCCACAGGGTAATAAAAATGAATACACTCCAAAGAGAACCCCTGTTAAAAATTATAAATTCTGAATACTAATTAAACATGCTGGTCCTTCCCAAATAATCAAGTACTAACATGTCCATGATAATTAACAGAAAAAAAATGTTACTGCAATGGACTGAATATTTACATGCCCTCAAAATTCATATGATGAAACCCTAACCTCCCAATGAGACAGTATTAGGAGGTGGAGCCTTTAGGAGGTGGAGCCCTCCTGAATGGGCTTAGTGCCCTTATGAAAGAGACCCAGAGAGAGCCCTCACCCCGTCCGCCACATGAGGACACAGAGGAAAGACAGCTGTCTGCAACCCAAAAGAGGGTTCTCACCAGAACCCGACCATGATGGCAAGCAATCTTAGACTTCTAGCCTCCCCATAACTGTGAGAAAGAAGTTTCTGTTGTTTATAAGGCACCATGTCTATTTTGTTTTAGCAGCCTGAACTAAGACAGTTATATCCTCTCAGGAAATGAAAGCTGGTTGGGTATGGAGATGGTGGTGGGGAGGTTTCCTTCCATCACATGAAAAATTAAAGTACTACAGGCTGGCAGAACCTTACCCACAACTTCTCAAGGAGCTTCCATCATACCTGTTTTCTTGCATTTCATTTGGTTTTTATAATAATCTTTGAACTTTCCTCCTCCACCAACCTGAAATCTCTCCCTTTCACCAAAACATTCTCTTTTCTGAAGTTTGAACAGAGAGTGGCCAGGGGCCAGCCTTGCTAACAGGACCCCTTGATCCTATAATCTACTCTACACATAAGAGTGACAACCAGTTCCCCATGGGAATGGTGTTTACAGCTGCCATTTGTATCGAGTATTTACCATGTACTGATGTAGACCATAAGGTGCCTAAGTGCCATTATCTCGTTCCAGCCTCACAAAATCCTTTCAATACCTGTTGTGCACATTTTACAGATGAAGAAACAGGCTCAGAGAGGCAGAGTGGCTTACCCTACATCACACACTGAGGCACTGGGGGATAAGACTACCTAAGGTGCTCGTGATGCTTCACTCACAGCCGCTCACTCACGCTCAGAACAGCCTCACGCAGTAGGACAGTATAAATACTCCGGTGACGCTGGGAGCAGGTGTCCAAGGCACAGAGAAGCTAAGTAACTTTCCCCGAATAGCACAGTTAGAAAGGAGGTAAGGAACAGTACCTACCGTAAATGGTGGTTGTGGGGTTTGAGTGGATGCAGTCGATGGCATCTAACACACAGCAAGTGCCTTAAAAACACTAAAGGCTACGACGAAAGCACCTGCCTAAAGGAAGCGCTCCACACAGTAGCCGGCAGCAGCAACCGAAGATGCGTGCCAGGTAAATAAAGAGCAGGCACTCCTCCAAGGACGTCACCCCCGATGGCTGTAGTGCCCACAGCCACCTGGCCAACTTTCTGTATTATCTGCACGGACTCTGGCTGGCCATGCACAGTTTTGTGGAACTTCTTCACTCCTGCTATTAGAAGCCTGCAAGGGGGTGTGGTGGACAATGTACGTGCTGGGCGGCAGTGGCCCCGGTTCCATCACCTCCTGACTGCGCGACAGCTCTGAGGCTGGGTTACCCCAGCTGCAAACCAAGGACAGCGATCGCCACTTCCCTGCCACGCCAGCGCTGACCTCCTGCAGCCGCTCTGGCCAGCTTTTGGCTCCGACACGCCACAGACCTCCCTGGCAATCCCCCCCACTCCCCAGCCCAGGCCAGCTGTCGCTGGGCTCTGCTAAGTGCTTGAGCCCGAACTGGGGGGGATGGCCTGACAATCAAACTCCCTGGGGTGGCGGTAGGGGGCACCCGAGCACTACTGGGCACCTCACCCCCCCACCCGGGCCGTGCAGCAGTCGGGAGCGCCAGGGGAGAGAGTGGGCAATGAGTCCTCAAGTCCAAGGAATGCGAGACAAGCTGAACAAACACAGAGCGACTCTTCCTCAGGGAGACTTTTAACGGAAAAAGATGGTCTATGCTGTAGAAAAAGCCACGGGACAAGAGTCAGCTCACCAGGAATCAACACTCACCCTCTGTGAGATTTCAAGCAAGTTAATTTTTCTGAGCTATCGTTACTTTATCAATACCTCTCAAAGGGAGAAAAAAGACACCGAAGTTCTTTGTAAACTGTAAAGTGCTCCACAAATGTAAGATGCTGGGAAACTTCTCAGCTGTTAAAGGACCGTGCCGTGGAAAAGACAGGGCCAGATAATTTAGGTCCTGGTGGAGAGCAAGTTGTAAGGGTCAGCGAAGGTACAAGTCATCTCGAATAGAGCGAAAGGGGCCACGGGGCAACGTGGTAAGTGGGGGAAAGGTAGGGCAGAGCTGGTGAGCAGGGCTGTCACAAGGTCTAGCCCCCCGCAGTTCTCGCCCACCTGAAGGCAGTGTGCTATTTGATTAGATTCTAGAATTTTTAGAGTTGTTTTTCCTTCCTGCCAAAACCACCTCAGGGCTCAAACACAAAACAAAGTCAATTACTTAAAACACAAGGCCATGATCAGTAAGTGCTGAAATCAATAAAAGCACTAATTTAAAGGGATTTGTCTGGTTCCGTGTCCTGAAGTGGGCAGTGGCTGCACAATTAGGGCTGATGAGAAATCCCAATGGTCTGGAAAATGCAGTGGTTGATCTCCGTGATCTCTAAGGCTCCTTCCGCCTCCGAAATGCCAAGATGACATTTTGCACCTTGACCTCTTACAAGTCTTACACCTCTTCCCCATTGTCTTGTCCATGCTACAGACAACACTTCTCCCACACTCTCCTTAACCTCAATGTTCCACACAGAGCCAGGGTCACCTTTGCCTAAATTCTTCAAGGCCCCTCACTGTGTGGACGTGTTCATTTGTTCATTCAAATAGGGTTCATCCTACTGGCTCCCAGGCTTTGGAGGTTAACAAATCAGTAAGACCATGTCCTGTCCTCAAAACAGTAATACGACAGGCTCAAAACCAGTGTCTCCACGCAAAGAACAGGCTCAGCTGAGTGGCTGGAGGAGGGAATAACCCCAAATGAGTCCCTGTTTTCCAAGCATCCCACACAGTCGTGAGAAAAACGGGTGGCTGCAAGGCAAAGGGGAACTTCCTAGGGAATGAAAAGCCAGGGAATGAGGAGTAGCAGAGGGACTGACATAGCAGTTTATCCTACAAGAGAGTCAAACAGGGTTAGGCCCTCAGGGAGCACCCACTGCTGCTTCAGAAATAAACAGAAATTAACTCACCCTGGGTAACAATTCGTGCTGGGTGTGGCACAAGTCCCTCTCCCTTCCTACTATAACCTTTGTAGGGGAAAGGGCACGAGCAGAAATTGAATATCTGATGAAGAATATTTGCGGTATTCATATTCTTGTCTTCAATGCAGAAAATGTATGTGTGTGTGTGTGTGTGTGTGTGTGTGTGTGTGTATATATATATTTTTTTTTTTTAACTACAAATTTACAGATTTTCATTCCATTTCTACTTTTCTTTTTTTTTTTTTTTTTTTTTTTTT